AGTACTGTTTACCTGACCACCACTGAGTGCCATGGTAAGGCAGCTAGGGGAAACTGAGAAAGGGGAGACCTAGCATCAGGAGGGAACTGAAGGCACAGGCTTGCTCAGAAGGACAGAGTTGCTGCACTCAATTGCTTGTTTGTCTAGTGTCTTGATTTCAACATTTTAAGGTCTTACACAAGGGAAAATGGAGAACTGGGCATATAAATTGGGATCTTTGACAAGGGGCAGTTAGGAATTGGTATGGGTAAATAGACTGAGTTCAGCCTCTGAGTTTGGCCAGAACAGCCATGTGTTGTGTCCATATCCCTGCCCTGCTTTGACAGCAGGAGAATCTGTCCTCTTGCTAGTAAGGAGCAAGAGTGGGTACCCTGCTCTGTGGGGACTAGCTTGCCTGGACATCAGGTTTAGGTTTGGTAATCCCTCAGCTGTCTGTCATGCAGAAGGGATTACTCTATGCATACTCATGTGAGCTGCTTTCTGTGCAACATCCACATTTCTCAAGCGTTCACAGAGGCAAAGCTCAAGCAGAAACTGATAGAAACTATTACCTGTCTAATGAAACTGCTTGACTCAACTACAGATAGAAAAAGTTCAATGTAGTTGGATACAAATCATCAACGATTTGGACTGATGCCTCTAAATTTATATTCTGTAATGAGCTAGTTTTATAGCCAGTTCTCCCTCTCCCTTGCAGATGTCTGGATGGGACTGGCCAGCATCGTCTGCAGTTATCAAGAGCTAGTGTATCACTGTATCTGAGCCACTCTTGAGATAAGGCAGAGAAATGAGGTTTGTAATGGAGAGGAAACTGGATGATTCTTACTGTGTTCAAAGTGGTGGTTGCACAGTGCTCTGAGGAAGTACCATCCACTGTGCCTATCAAAATACGCAGGTCTCCAGCTCAGCGTCAGCAGCTTTTCCATCACTTTGAGTCCTTCTTGAACTAAAGATCACAGGATTGCATGCTCAAATTGTAAAGCAAAAGCACATGTTGCTAAGCTCTGTGTTCTTTGATTCTGAGTAAGCTCAGTGTTCCTCATAGCCCAGCTGCAGATTACAGTAAAGGGGCTGAGGCCACTGCTGAAGGGGCAAGAAGTGGTCTCCTTTTGTGTCAGCATCAAGGTTGGAACTCTGTGTGTCTAGATAACACTCTTAAGGATGTGAGAAACGACCTGGAGATTTTTCTCTGAAGTCATTTGGAGCAGTCCCTTCAGAGGAGTGTATGTGTTGATGAGCATTTGACACACCTAGCAATAACCTTACATGATGGCTTTCTCTCTCTATGAAATCTACTTTGCATGGAATAATTGAATCAGATGATCAGAACATGATTCCTGAAAGTGTTTGCTGAAGGATTCACTTGGGAAGGTGAGAGAGTGAAGTTTGCTGCTGCAGTTACACAAAGTGGCTGGAGGTAAGATTTGAAATGGTAGGCAGTGTTTTGAATCAGGTGAACAGAGCCCTCTGTGGTCTTGTCTGCTGTCACTGAGGGCTCTGTTATCCTCACCCTGGACAGACTTCACTCTGTAGGTTCCTCAGTCTGAAGCTGTTCTTGTCTAGGAAGTGCAGTTATGAGTTACTGGTATTACTGCACTCTTCTGTGCAGAAAATAAGTGCTTAGTGATCTTGCACATAGTTACAGAACTTGCATAGAAGGTGTGATGTTGTCTTACTATTTATTTGATCAGACAGAAGCAGCTTTCATGAAGAGAACAGGAATTTGCTGCATAAATACTGCATGATGGTTGTATTGCCAGTTTGCTGCTGTTGTCTCCTGGGACATGTGGTAGATGTTACAGATAGTGCAACAGCCTTTACACTAACAATTCCCTTGAAAAAAAACAGACTGACTGGGGAGGGGCAGCAGCTATCGATCTGCACTTTGCTAATTTTTATCTGCCTTTTTTTGATGCAAAATTAATCAAATCTCAGTCCTCTGAATTCCTGTTTGTTTGAAGTATGGTTTTAAATGACTCAGTGCATCTGGTGCCTCATCACGCAGTTCAGAAGGGAAACATCTCCTGTGTTCTGACTCCAGTAGCCAGTAAATGCTATTTCAATACCATCTGAAGAAATAACCCAAAGCAAAGTGTTAGTCTTGAATTTGACAAGTTGTTTCTTTGCTGTCCCTGAAGGTGTTTACCATTAGGGGTTATTAAAACTCAAGATCCTTATTAATATTTCAGTCCCTTCTATGAAGGAGAGGCAGAATACAAGTCTTAAAGGCCTTGCTTCATGGAGATCAGCATTATCTAGTACGTAGTTTAGATTTTCATTCCAGTAAATTGATTTGAGCTATGGAGTCAGTTTAGACTTGATGTGTTAAAATTAGTTTCTTTTAACCTGCCCCTCTTGTCTTGTATGTAAGAAACAATTATTCTGAAAGGATATATCGCTGGGTGAGTTTTCTTACTTCATTGGTTGCATAGTTCTGGAATGTTACAAGGTTTTCACATTTGCACTGGTCGTTATCTTTTGAAGCTTTTGCTGAAAAACAGAAACTGTTAAGTACAGGGTAAATGCTGAATAAATTCAGTGGGAAGGGGGGTGGGATCACAAGGACTTAGACATGCAGAGCAGGTTTATTACAGCTTCCTGTTCTGAAAACAGGTCGGCATCCAATGGAATACTCTGGGAAGCTTTAGTAAATACTGGAATATAGTACACAACGCATAGGCATATGTATTCAAAGACTCTGCATTATTCTAAACAAGGGTGACCTGATTACCTGTTGTTGAGTGAGTGTGACTGTCTTCAAACAAATACTTGTGGTGTATTGCAAGATGTGCACAGTCAATGACATCTGTGATGGCTATTGTGGTTGATTCAGGTCCTGCAGGAAACCCCCAAAAGTCTAAAAATTAAACCCACTTTATACGGGTTTTTTTTGTCCATTGACATGCACCAAGTTCTTAATTAGTAAATAATCTCACTGATTACAGTGAGGATCATTCATGGAGAGGACTAGGGATAAAAGATGTGAAGGAATCAAGCTGTTAGGCTGTATTTACTGTATATATGTTTTAAGCTGTGGGTTGCAGAACCAAAAGGGAGTTGTGAAAGTTCCTGTGAGAAATAGAAGTGATTAAAAGCTGAACATGCTTAAAGTGTCAAGCACAGTGTTGAAATACAAGTTCCCCCATGAAGTAATTAATCTGGATGGTGCCAGAAGCATGCAGCCATGCAGAGTTTGGTACAGTGAATCTCAATTTTTCACATTGCAGAAAGGGTGGCTTGGAGGTGGGAGAGGCAGGAACAAATACAGGTGAATCGTGAGGGTTCTCCAGAGAAGATGGCGCGAAGAGGCAACTTAGCAATGACTGGAGAGACAGCAGGACACTGTTAAAACAGCCAACCTGAAGGCTGTGGACCAGTCTCGTGAAGCCTCCCAGATGATGGATCCTGCTGGTGAGCTGACTCTTTCAAGGCTGGTAGATAGAAATTGCCAAAGGAATTATATCACTGAAGGCAGAATAAAAATGTTCACACTCCCTAGAAATGATGTTTCTTACCAGTAACTTGGTGTTTATCTCTCGTAACACATGGAGAATGCCTCATACCTGTGCAGTTTAGAAGAGGTCTGGTGTTGATGGAAACTCCAGGACTTGCCCTTCAACTCAGACTATCAGAGGAACTCTTCCAAACCCAGAAGTGCTTTATGAATAGATTAATAGCAGTGAAGCAATCTGGAATGACGGCAATCTACTTTGTGTCCTTTAGTGAAAAATCTTGCATGTTTCATTGTCACCCATCAGTCCTTTGGGATGAACTGAATAAGAATAAAAGCTGCTTGAAGTTTCTTACTCCTTCAGTTTTCTTTATAATGGGGAAACGCTGATTAGGGAGTTGGGAGTGTTTAGGTGAGAAGAGTGCTGTAGAGTTTTATTTGCTGCACTATAGTTATATGCAAAATACACATTTCTAGTTCATGAAGCACAGCCTTTAAAATGTAGAGATTTATTTCAGACGCCTCATACCTATCGTTTTAGCCAAGAGGTGTCTGGAGAGAAGCAGGAACCTGTTTGATAGGTATAGTCACGTCAGTCTTTTTGTGCATCACCCTCTCTTGCCGCCAGAGGGTAGTGTGGAGGCAGCTTTGGTTCCTTCCGAACGGGTCCTGTCCTAGAACACAAATCCTTCACCTCCAACTGCCTTTGGAGCCAGTAATGGCCCAGATGGGCTAAAGAGCATGTGTTTAACAGCCACACGGCTTGATCAACTATGCCAGGGGAGTGGATGGCACATCTAGGACTCCCTCCTGTGGAACCCAGAGTTCCTTCACTGAAAAGGAATGAGGGTAAAAGGTGATGTGCAAACTCTCCTATCCCATGGAGATGTATAGGCAGGTGGAAGATGCTTCTGGGCCACACAGGTTTGCTATAGCTATTGAGATCCTTGCTGGTTTAGTTAGTTTTGACAGATGCACAATAATACACAGCTGTGCTAAGTTGCACTGGGAAGATTAGATCCTCTTGGGTGAGTGCTGGAATGACTGAGCATGAGGACCAGGGGATGAACAGAAATGTATGGTTGAGTGAGAAGACCAGAGAGCAGTGGGCTGAACTACTTTACATAATATATAAGTCTGCATGGGAACCAACTGCTGAAAGGAACACAGATCTTGGAGAAGAGTTCAGGGCAGAGAGGTGTGGGATGAGATCACAGGGTAAAGGTAAACAGACTGGGTGAGGCGTCTTAGCAGAAGAATGATCAACTGGGAACAAGGATGGTATTTCCAGCATAGGAGAGAAGGAACAGGTAAGATGAACCTTGAGTGTTTGACCCTGGGTAATGACTTGCTCTAGAAGTTGTTCAAGAGCTGCAGGCTAATGAGGAGCAGCATCTGACTGTTTGCTGCACTGTTAACAATCTGCAGTTTGGAAGGAGAACAGAATGTTAACCAGCAGGCTGCTGAGTACTGTCATCTGATCAGGGCTGGGGTCTTGTGACAAAAATAGTATATGACCATGTAATTAAAGGCTCCCACACTGCACATGCTCAGAATGGGGGTGAAGCCGCATTCGTGTTGAGTGTGTATTCTGTATGACATTGCTGCAGCCTCGTTAGTGCTTCCAGTCAGATGAGAAATTAACATTAACCAAGGCAATGAATGGGAACCTTCCGACTGAATTCCTCTTAATAAGAGGCAAGAGAAAAAAAACCTTTTTTTTTCTTTACTACTAGTCATCAAGAATAATGAATAGTAATCAGCAGCTATTCTACAAGGCAAATGCTTTCTTGCAGAATAAAGGGAAAAAGCCTTACCCAAAAAAAATATTTGGAGGGCTTCTGCTTTAGTTGGAAACATGTAGTGCATCCACAGCTGGGACTGGGATGAGAGGCTTTGTCAGTGGAGTCCATGAGGTTCACAGGATCTCCCACTGTCCTCACAGGCTGGAGCCTCAGCCAAGGACCAAGGCTGGAGTAAAAATAAAGTTATTGCTGTTGCAAAGGAGGGAAAAAATTAGGCTGTAAAAAACAGAAGGGGAAAAAGAACTTTCAGCTTGTATAAGAGGTGTGAAGGCAGAATTTCTGGTGGAGTGAGTTGATGAGCAATAGGCAGTCCTGGAGTGTCCGGAAAAACAAGGCCAGGTCAGTCTGCAGTTCACAGGTGTGAGGCATTCCTTATGGCCTGTTGGTGAGAGAGGAGGAGGACACAGAAGCTGAGGCACCAGCGCTGCCCAGTTACTAGCGGTGCAGTCTAGAAACTGCCACAAAGGGGCAGGATTTACTTATTTTTTCACGTGTTAAATAATGTAGTTAAAAGGAAAAAAAAATCGGGGTTGCTAACCACTGCTGTGGGTACCTGAAGGATGCGTTTCCATCACTGAGCTCTGGGGTTTGCTAATGAGTGAGAATTATTATACTAGTTGCCAGATAGTTTTGGCTTTGGTATCTCCACTAGCTTTTAAGATGACATGCTGTCATCAGCAGATTATCTGCCTAATAAGAAGGTTAATTGAACTGACTTGGTTTCATGTCATCATAGTTTTTAATCTTTCAGAAAGATGGAGCTAGGACTTAGGACTGAGGAAAAGACAAAGAGTATACTAGCTGGGAAACATCCTCAAATTCTATTTTACAGCTTCTTCATTGACATCCACATGAGGAAGAAATGTGCTGCAGCCAATTGCACACAGTAATGCCAAAGAAAAAAAAGGCAAAACCTGTTTGCATTTAATTCCAAGAAAAACAACCAAATAAAAGCTAGTGAAAATTAAATCATCTTGCACAATTCTAGTGCTGTGACTAATACTATTCTCAGTGCTGTTTCTGAATTTTGCTTATTATAATTTTGAATTATATATTCAAATTTTACCAATTTGAATACATAAAAAATACTGAGTCCTGGGAATGTGCAAGTGGGAGAGACATGCTGTCCTCCCTGGGTGAACTGCTTTTGTCCCAGCTCACATTCCCCATTCCCTTTGCAAAACTTCAGCTGGGAATGCTTATATAGAGGCTGTTTGTGTCAGAGTGAAGAAGAGTGCTCTACATTTGTGGAGCAAAACTTGGAGCTTATGCATAACTGAAATTCATTCTTGGTAGCTATGAGTCTATGTTCAATGAACTACTTTTAGTCTTCTGTAAGTAGGCACAACAGCTCTCGATTTATTTTGCTGTGGTTTAGGTCTATGTCACTGGTTTTAAGGATGTTTTTTTAATCCCCATTAAGGTATTACAAATCCCTGATTATTTTCTCACATTCCTAATGAAGTAGATCATGCTTCTTTGGTGGGGTGGGGTTCATTGCATGGCTGACTTAACTGCAGAAGAAGAAAAGGGAGGGAGCAATTGATTCTACTAGGCATAGAAGTGTGTATGTTTTATGCAACCTTTATGAAAACAAACAATATACCCTTACCTGGTGATAGATTAAGGGCATATATTCCTCATATTAAAGGGCAGAAAAATCTAAAAAGCAAAACATCTGTAAGCATTCACTCCTCTTCTATCTCAATGAAAGTGGAATTTTGTTACCTTCACAGATTTGAGCTCTCAGCTCTTCACTTATGTCCTCCAAAGCTGTGAAATCCTCAGCATAGAAGAGATGTTTATATGATGGCTCAGAAGCAATTTCCAGCAGTTCTTCTTCAATTGCTTTTCCTATTCCAATGGCATAGATAATTATACCTGGATTGAAAAGAAGTTGCACATAATCATTACTTCAGCAGTTCTAATTCTAAACCCTAATTCTCCTCCATGAAAGCAAAATATGAGAGAAAGGGAGAGCACAAGAAATGTATATGCTGTGTAACTCCAAAATCAGTGTTGAACGTGCTTAATATGCTTTAGTTCTTAGGAGACTTGTAGAAACTCACTTATACAGATAGTTTTTAAGTTAAAGAGATGACAATTGTCTGGCTGCTACTGATAGTAAATGGCCCTAGAAAGTGTATTACAAAACATCCAAGAGAATCACACAGTTCAGCCACACAATTGCACTGCAAGTGTCTGCTCTGTGTGTGTCCGTGAATGTAGGGCGTGCTCAACCACACTAAGTACTGGGTTGACTGGAAGACCTGTTACAAATGAGCAAACCCAGCAGAATCCTGAAAGATGGCAGTGATTTGGGGGAAAAATATGTTTCATCAAAACCCTCAGTGCACATTGAGGCGAGACTTGTGCTCCAAGGGACCCTAGTGGGCTGGGAGGTCCACTTAAGAGGGTAAGAACAGAAAAATTGTGGGGCTAGGAAAAAGCCTTACAGCAGGGATGCTCAGGACAAGCATGTCCCCAGCAGAGGTGCTAAGGACAAAATAAATGAAGATGTGTAGTTTTCTTCACTCTGAAAGCAGGGAAA